ACCTAAATCAATGAATAGAGAATGGAAATTGGGAATGTGTCAAAGACAAAAAGAACCAAACATAAGAAGAAAACAGCCAAAGGCCACCAATTGGTCTGCAACACAGCTGTCCCTTAAACAAAATTGTGTGATATTTCAGTGAAAATGGACGTCAAACTGAACTCAAAAAGCATACAAATAAAAAAAATATAAAACAAAATCATACATTAAGATAAACGAAGGCAAGAAGCTCCTGACTCGGGACAGGCGCAAAAATACAGCGGCGTTAAACATTTTTTGTGAGATCTCGACCCTTCCCCAATACATCTAGTAAATGTCAAATAAACAATCACACAGCATTACGGACAGTAAAATTCAGTTTTAAGAAGTCCGAGTCCGATGTCAGAATAGGTAAAAGAAACTAAGCAGAATGACAATGACACATAAATTAAAAAAAAAACTACTAGCAGTTACTAACATGCCATACCATATTAAATTATACCACCAGGTCCCGAAAATTAAGATGAAATTACAGATTATTTTTGTTTTTGCAATATACAAACCATGTAACTGACCACATTGTTTTGATTATAAAATAAAATTACTTACTACTAATTATGACTTTTAAGTCGTACTTACAACATAAACAGATTCGGTAAGCCAGCGAATGTTGTATTTCCAATAACTGATATAAAATTTCTATTCAAGTCCCTACAAGAAACAATCAAATATAGATGTCGAAATGTTTATTACCAGGTTACTAATGTTGTGATGATATAGCAAAGCTTAATTAACGTTAACATTGCATCGTATCAATGTATTAAACATCCATTCGTTTGATGTGTTCCAGCTTTTGATTTTGCCATTTGAAGTAGGATGTTCCATTTTGAATTTTCTTAGGTGTTCGGTATTTTTGTTACTTTTTTTTACTACTAAGTAATGAAAAAAACATTGTTTTGTGCTATACTGGTTGTCTTATTACGCATAGTTTGGAAAGTAATAACATGGATTAAACGAAATGCCTGAATTTTAATTTGAGTGACTAGATAACGCATTTTGCCAGAATGGAACAAGGGAACATATTGCCGCTAGACATCATTCTGACATCCTTTATTCAATGTGCATACATTTTCTTATCAGTAGTTTAATACATTTGTTTAAATTTCTATGTTGTGATGTTACACTATTGTTTCATATTTTCAAACTACAATTAGTCTCTCTGTACACATAATCAATGCTATTCATTATCAATATTTAGACTTACAGGACAGTTAAGTTTGTCATATCCCGGAATGCATCTTCTTCCACAGATGTTAATTTATTACCAGCCATCAATCTGCATTTACAAGTACATTTTATTGTAAAGATGTATTGTGGGAGTATTGAAAAACACATATTTTGACATAACATTTCATTGCATCTAAGATAATAACCAACACTAGAAGTTAACCGACAAAATTGTAATCCCTTTGTTTTTGTTTAAAAGCGTTAGTAACAATGTAGCCACATATTTTCAAACTACTAGTATTCTACAGACACACCGAATAAAACAATAAAATGGTGCTTCGAAACTCCAAGATATATGTGCATGACTCGTATATCTTTTTTCTGCAATGTAATGCAGGGTAAACTTCCTACTACCGTCAAATTCAAAGACATATTTTTTTAATCCTATTTTGTACAAAACTGGATGTGACGCACTATGATTTGGTGGTTTTACACCTAGATTATAGCCATCAGTCCATCCATAAAGACTATGATAATTTCTTGATATCTCTTTTTTTTTGTCTCTATAACAAGTTGATCTTTTTTTTTCAATTTAATATTGCACACTTCATTTTATTCATTCATTAATATTACTGTACTCTTTATAATTTGTTAAAACATTTAATAAACATATACATACTTTATGTAGTGAACTCACATTTCCTGTATACTGGCTAAACCATCAAAATAGATCCTTTTCACATCAATAATTGCATTGTATGGTAATTTCCTGTAAGTATTTAAAATTAACGTATTCTGTTTTTAGATCACATAACAATTTCACGCAGTCAGGAAATAGCGCAATAGTGTTAAAAGTGGAAAAAAAAAAACACCAATAAATCAATCAACCAATTAGTCACTCCCTCCTATTATCAACCCATTTGCAAGGACGTGCTACTATATACGATGAAAATGCGTCACGACTCCAGGATTTGCTCTCTGGAGGAAAAAGACAATTAGCACGTAGCTGACTGCTTTTGATATAGGTTTGTCCCAAGCTCAATCCGAAAGATTATTAGACAATTGTTTATTAAACAGCCATTAATGAAGCCATACAAGAGCAGCGGAATATAATGACTAAACTAATCAAGTCATCTTAAAAACTTACTTTTAGTCATTACCAACTTATAAATCAGCTTTGTAAGAAAAAACACAGAACATTTAAATGTTGTTGGTGCTTTTTATAGACTATTTTTGTTTTGTAAGCGCACTTTACCAAAAGGCTTCAGTGCATAAAGTGTAATATATGTAATAATGATTGTCGGAGAGTGGTAATCACCATATCTTTACCCGTTTGATTGTTACTATGTTGATATAGTTATTGCATTTTAAAATTATTAACTAGATATAAAGTGTCTATAAACTTACAAAATAACTAAATTTGTTAAATGGGAAAACGCATTTGGTTCTATTACTGATATATTATTAAACCCTATGTCCCTGAAAGAATAAAAAAAAACGCTATAATCTATAAATACAATTAGGTATGAATGTGAACAATATCAACCCAATGGGTATAGAAAGTATTTTCGCAATACAAATGAATGATAAGAAGCAATACACAATAAAATTAATGTTGAATAGTTTTGCTAGTTTTTGCTGATATTTCCTTAATATCTTTTCTATTTTATTCATCATTATCAATGTTCATTCGTTACCATCTATATTTTGATGTGCTAAAATATTAACTTCTGCTAAATTATTTACAATTCGTATATCGGTCTTTCATTCCATATAGTGAGGATTGTCTTTTTAATATTGAGATTTTTGTTAATTTAGAAATTCTCTATGAGTTATGCATTGTCGAATATGTGTGTTGTGAAATATCTGATACCTATCCAGTTACTGTTAAATTACTAATTTTTACGACCGATTTATTTTCGGTAGTAGAAAAATAACGGGAAAATGTAAAACGGGTTTTTCTTATTTATCTGAATGAAGTAAATTTAAGAAACGACAAATCAAATCACCTGCGACATGAAAACAAAGGGCAAAGCGAAAGCATTTCGTTAACAGTACCTAAATCAATGAATAGAGAATGGAAATTGGGAATGTGTCAAAGACAAAAAGAACCAAACCTAAGAAGAAAACAGCCAAAGGCCACCAATTGGTCTGCAACACAGCTGTCCCTTAAACAAAATTGTGTGATATTTCAGTGAAAATGGACGTCAAACTGAACTCAAAAAGCATACAAATAAAATTAAATTAAACAAAATCATACATTAAGATAAACGAAGGCAAGAAGCTCCTGACTCGGGACAGGCGCAAAAATACAGCGGCGTTAAACATTTTTTGTGAGATCTCGACCCTTCCCCAATACATCTAGTAAATGTCAAATAAACAATCACACAGCATTACGGACAGTAAAATTCAGTTTTAAGAAGTCCGAGTCCGATGTCAGAATAGGTAAAAGAAACTAAGCAGAATGACAATGACACATAAATTAAAAAAAAAACTACTAGCAGTTACTAACATGCCATACCATATTAAATTATACCACCAGGTCCCGAAAATTAAGATGAAATTACAGATTATTTTTGTTTTTGCAATATACAAACCATGTAACTGACCACATTGTTTTGATTATAAAATAAAATTACTTACTACTAATTATGACTTTTAAGTCGTACTTACAACATAAACAGATTCGGTAAGCCAGCGAATGTTGTATTTCCAATAACTGATATAAAATTTCTATTCAAGTCCCTACAAGAAACAATCAAATATAGATGTCGAAATGTTTATTACCAGGTTACTAATGTTGTGATGATATAGCAAAGCTTAATTAACGTTAACATTGCATCGTATCAATGTATTAAACATCCATTCGTTTGATGTGTTCCAGCTTTTGATTTTGCCATTTGAAGTAGGATGTTCCATTTTGAATTTTCTTAGGTGTTCGGTATTTTTGTTACTTTTTTTTACTACTAAGTAATGAAAAAAACATTGTTTTGTGCTATACTGGTTGTCTTATTACGCATAGTTTGGAAAGTAATAACATGGATTAAACGAAATGCCTGAATTTTAATTTGAGTGACTAGATAACGCATTTTGCCAGAATGGAACAAGGGAACATATTGCCGCTAGACATCATTCTGACATCCTTTATTCAATGTGCATACATTTTCTTATCAGTAGTTTAATACATTTGTTTAAATTTCTATGTTGTGATGTTACACTATTGTTTCAGATAAGGGTGAAGGTTTGATACCATTAAAACGTTTAAACCGGCTGCAATTGTGTACACCTGTCCTAAGTCAAGAATCTGATGTTCAGTAGTTGTCGTTTGTTGATGTGGTTCATAAGTGTTTCTCGTTTCTCGTTTTTTTTTTGTATACAGATTAGACAATTGGTTTTCTCGTTTGAATGGTTTTACATTAGTAAATTTTTGGGGCCCTTTATAGCTTGTTGGTCGGTGTGAGCCAAGGCTCCGTGTTGAAGACCGTACCTTGACCTAGAATGGTTTACTTTTATAAATTATGACTTGAATGGAGAGTTGTCTCATTGGCACTCATACCACATCTTCCTTTATCTATACAAAGAACACTATCCGAACATTCTTGTACTAAAGATGACTTATAGTTACTGACTGAGAACACGAGTAAATTAGTTATTGAACTTGCAATTAATTTCTCTCTCTTTTTTTTTTCTCTCTCTCTTTCTGTCTCTCTCTCTCTCTCTCTCTCTCTCTCTCTCTCTCTCTCTCTCTCTCGTTTGCTAACTCGTCAATCGACATGATTCTTTTAATTGTTTACATGTTTCTTAAGCTGGAAAGATTTTGGAAAGCATTTGCACCAATATCCGTAATACCATTTGAATAGAGGTTCCTGAAAAATAGATTCTAATAAAATGCACATCATGAAATTTGTACAGACAGTAATAAGTGTTGACAATATATAAATCAGTTAATGCTTATTTATTGTATTGTTGGTGTCAGTATTGACACTTGACGTGTTATGGGACAACAAAAACCTTAATACATGCACTATCCTCAACGATGAAATGTAAAGAAATGTAATGTCATTGTAAAACACAAATTATCATTTAAAACATACAAAAGGTACATGCAATTCGGTATAGTGCGATTGTAAAAACTAGCAAAACAATTTAGTGTAAGTTTAAACGCGCGTAGAAAACACACATCATATTTACATTTAACAAAATACTAATTTCAAAACTATAAAGGAGTATACATTATACTTTTTATACTGTGGATTCCTTTAATTTCGTTGGATACCAATTTTCGTGGATTATGTGGTTACAGGTGAACCACGAAATTAAATGATCAACGAATGACACAATTTTCTATAGGCTTGTATGTTGACTTCATCAAAACCACGAAATTAAATATCCACGAACATTCAAGTTTTCCCAAATCCACGAAAATTGGTTTCCACGAAAATAAATGGATTCATAGTATTCAACTGATGTAATGTCATTCACGTTCGTTATTATATAATACTAAAGGTACGTTAGAAGTCTCTTTTTATAATTTCAAAAAGTGAAATAAAAAAGTAATACTTCGAGTAAATACTTGAACAACTTCCAGACACATAACGAAATTTCTTTTTAAAAACGTATTACAATATTAATATGTATCCTATTTGAGTTTCGTGCGCCAGTGTTTACCAACACGCACACAAACAAACTTATTCACGCAAGTTTATAATCATTTATTTTGTATGGTAATTTTGATAGCTTCTACATCATATCTTACAATTCGAACAAGCCCGGCAGGTTTTTGAATGCTCCACTTTCAATATGTTTCACCCCACTGTTGTGTAACATTCTATGTGGTTTTCATAAGGGAAAAAATACAGTAGTAATTAATTTTGAGTAAGTGCGGTTTTATCAAGTACAGCTGAGATTTCAACATACGAATGATAATAGGACAACAAGATTTTCGACTTCTAATTTGTAGTAAGTTACGCATTACAGATGAATTTATAATTCGTTTTATAACCTTCGAACCATTCAAGTTTTTTTCTGATAGGAAAATTCTCATTTGTGAACCATAAAATGGTTAATGATCTCAAATCCAGGTTTGCTTGATCCCTTTATGTACACGTATTGTTTTTTTTTTTTTTTTTTTATTTTTCTCTCATATCTGTTATAATATACTTATTATTTATTTTGGTCAATAATATTCATATACGAATACGAAAACGTAAAAACTTAACTAATTACTGAAAATGTTGAATAAATTAATACTTGCTATATACTTCAAATACAATATACTATCAAGTGATAACATACATCGTGGAAAGGCTTTCTAGTCCCACAAAAGTGTCTGATGATATAGTACTGATACCGTTATAATGCAGATCTCTGTTAAGACAAAACATTATTAGTATTCTTGACATGGATCAAAGACAGTTATATTCGTTATACAATTTGGACTAATGTGGAGTATATGCTAGAATATTTCAGACGTTGGATGCCAAGTGGTCAAATTCCGTTTAACCTGTCCATCCCTGCAAACATAGAAATTGTTTTCTTTTGTTTTTTTTTTTAAATCAGCGAAATAATCCTTTCTAAGGTATAAACAGATAATTGACCTGACCAAAAGTTTACCCGCGAAAAAATTAACCATGTTTACCGTGGACTTTAAAAGCTATCAGTTTGTGTAAGTGTGTCCCCCCTTTTGTACCAAAAGAACAGAATTATAATAATGTAACATAAAATATTTTTACAAAAGATAAAATAATCACACCTTATTTTGGTGCAATATTGTGTAATTTTAAACGTTAATTTTTTTACTTTAATGTCTAACAATCCATCCTGAAGTATACAAAATACTCAAATATGAGGCCAGTACAAGGAATCCACATACATGTATCAACGATATTTTATGTCGTAGCAAACTTGGCTGCTGTTACCCTTAACAACTTTTACAAGCAGACATAGTTCATGTTTTCATGCTACCATTTTCGTCTTAAAATACCTCTACCAAGTAAGGAATATGACAGTTGTCTTCTTATCATTACATTGGTTGATAAAGTTGTGTGTTTGTTTTTTTTTCATGTTGTTTGTCTATCAATCTAGTTTAATTTACATGATAATTTAGTGCTTTTGTTATGACATTTTGAGTTATGTACGATAATTATAATAATGTGATGAACTTTACTTTGAATCAAGCCCTGAATGTGTATTGATTACTATTTTAGCCTCAATGCATGCTGTTTGCATTAGTTGATATTTGCTTTCAAGTCTGTACTCAGTGTCCTTCTGTTGTGTGAAGGTATATGTTCCCCTCAGGTTTACTCTGTGTTTTTGCTAGATGTATTTCTATTTTTATTCTCCCGATGAGTTGAGCTTTTTCCAACTGATCTTATTGTTTTTTCTTACGTTGAACTATTACACTACTGTCCTAGATTAGGAGTAGGGTGTGTGCCTATAAATCAGTTTCATCCGCCGCATCCTTTATGTGACTGTCCCAAATTATGAGTGTGTAATTCAGTTGTTTTCGTTTGTTGCTGTGTATCATATTTAGTTTTCATTCATTAGTTTGTATATAAAAAAGGCCGTTAGAATTCTCGTTTGAATAGCTTAACATTTTTCATTTCTTGGCCTTTTACAGCTGCCTATGCGTAATCTGATTTTTTCATTTTTAAAGGCCTATTGTGATCTATAGTTGTTAATATCTGTGGTATTTGGTCTTTTGTTGAGGGTTGTCGCATTTGCAATCATACCACATCTTCTTATCTTTTTAAATGTAGATTGAACTTTCATGAAATCGCAATCATATCCAATGTCTAGATCACTGATCAAGTCAATTTTTAAAGTTTTAAAGGCAATCATGCTATTGTAAAAACCAAACTGATATCTACTTTGAATTATTATGCCATCGTTGCATTTAACGTACATCTTTTGAAGGTTATTGTTTTTTATAATAGTGCTCTTTAGTATATTTGCGTATAAAGTGTTTATTCATAAGAAATGTAGTTCGATGTGCAAATGCGATCAATTCAATATTCAATATTGGGTTTATCAGACGGACAACATCTATAAACAAGATCACTACACTGGAAGCGAAAGTAAACCTAACAAAGAGGAGTCGGAAAAATAACATATGGTATAACACTGTCAAACAGTTAACTTTCATTTCAAAACAAAACTAAAAAAATTCATTCAACACATTTAATATGTACTAGATAATTGGTAAATGTAGTGGATTCGTACGTAATAATCAACGAATGACTGTTGTCGTAAGTTGATTATCGTTTCTGAATCCACTACTTTTATCTAGATTAACCCGTTTTTAGTAAATCAACTGTTTGGTTTACTTTTGACACTTAAACCACCGAAATCTTTTAAAGATAATTTCGTATTTTGCCTTTTTTATACTATTATAGCTAAATATAATTATATCCACACGGTTCACATCTATATTTAGCATATGCCAACGATAACTTGAATGGGGAGTAAGATCCCTTTTTTAATACGAAATTTCATATTGGTAAAAGACTCTCAAGAGTCAGGGTCGTTACAACCACCCTTGTCGTAATAATATTAGATTGTCTGAGTGCAGGCTACTTTTAGTCGTACTTATCCAAAATCTATAAGATTAGGTTAATTGCCACTGATCGTTTTGGTAACGAAAGTCATAACGGTGAAATAGACAGTAAGAAGTTCAATTCGTATATCCGGAATTAAGTTTCTTTCATCATCATTTTGTTCGCAACCAAAATAGTGTTTTCACATAGTATTACATATTTCAAAATGGCGTTGATTTTGCTTCCGTGTTTTACTATTAAAGAGATAGTTGTACGGTCAATGTTGACGTGAATCATATTTAAACCATTCATAATCAAACAACGATTAAGTGATGGATTGAATGATAATGTTATATGCCTAAAACCATTAATACTCATTTGCAATGATGAAACGGAAAACTGAAAGTCGTTGTACGTCAAATGTGACAAGTTTAATGGGCATATGGATGTTTATTATATCAAGGAATGTTTCTAATATATACAATCCCTAGGTTATATGGTGGTTACAACTATTGTGTAATAGCCACAATCGAATAAAGGTTTATCAGTGTATTATAACGATGTCCAAAATCGACCAATATTCAAACGTGATATTCGGAATAAATTCTATTTTATGATTTTAAAGAAAATATTTAACTATTTTTTCTCTTGTAATTCTCTATTTGATATAAAGTTATACTAAAGAGCGTTCAAATGTTGAGCATATACTTCCTTCAAAAATAACACCAATATAAAACACATAAACTACATTTGAATTAAAACAAGCCAATACATGAAATAAATATTTCCAAGATTACAAATTTAATCGAATTATCAATGAGACAGAACTCCAGTTTATTGACATGTATTGACAATTAAGCGCTTTAAGAGTATAATTTAAATATTGATTGATGTCAGCACTCCGTGGTTTAGTGGTTGCATGCATAAACTGCAGACTCAACTGATTAACGATACTAATACGCGCGAGTTTGAACCCTTCATATGAGAATCGTTTCAACAGGGTAAAAGGTCGTAAATTAAAAGTTTAAAGTTAAAATAAAAATTATCTTAAGTTAACACAGTGGTTAGTGAATTCTTATGACAATTATATACAGTAAGAAATACAGTCTGAGAAATGGTTTAAGTGTACCTCAAATTGGATGTTTCAACTGAAAACGACTGGTAGTGTTAATCATTTATAAAATGAACGAATTTGCTGTAAAATTATTTGTTTTCTACCAACAACAAATATGTAGTACAGCATAATACTAAACATTTACAAATGAAAAAAAAAAACATCATGCGACTAGTCATAGGAATAAAGGAATAA